GAACCATCATCTGCATGTATAGCAGCAGCATACACAAATGACCTCTCCCTTTCTATAGCTTCACTACCCGCAAGATTCAACAAGATGAATGCTTTTGTCTTGGGAGTTTTATCACCATGAGCTGCATTTATGAAAATATTCCTGTTCAAAAATCCTCCAATTTTCAGCTACATCCCCTTCAAATATTAAGATGTTTGGTTTTTGAAATGAATCGGCCATAATACTCACTGGAAGACTTCATGAAATTATACAAAGAAATTTAGCAGTGTCTTACTAGAATGTCTTTGTTTGTTACCTGTCAGTCAAAACAGATTTTCTTTACACCATACATAATAAATATACGTGTAGTAATGTTGTGGAAAGCAGGATCCCACTTCTGACACCATATAGAATCAAGGATGGTTAGACCAGGTAGAGGATTACACAGGATTTGTTTATTACACACAACTATAGGTGCAGCCATCACACCATGGCTCAGGTAGTGAATACAATAGAACATAAAGGTCAAATACAGAGGTCAATGAGATGTGAACTCATTTGCATAATGCATACTCTACAAGTAGCATTTCAATGCTGCCAATATAAGCAAGCATAAACCTAACTTGTCCTGGTTTACATATAACTATTGGTTTATTACTTGTAAGCACAACTTCTCTCTAGTCGTTATACTGATAGTACATATTTTTATTTCTCTATTTTTAAATATAATTACATAGATTACACAAATTTTATTCTTATTAAGACGTGATCATAAAGGAAATAGTTGTTGATCTTGCTTGTACGTGGATTTATTCGAAACATAATTGCCGTTTTGTACAGGACAGACTCCTGAACTTGACCACGTCCATTTACATGAATATCTGACGTATTTACACTCTTTAACATCCGAAGTTCCAAGTTCTACATTCGAACTGTCATTATCTGATATATTAAGACGGCGGTTGATGATTATAGTCGTGAAAATATGTTGGGTTTGGATTAAAGTGCAGATACTTGGGTGGGGTTTCTGAAATATAACAAAAAAGCATATAAATAATGTAATAACGACGCTTTCCCTCTGTGAACGGATGTATACATCCGCCGCCATTGTACGTAACTGGGATCAAAAAGTGTTAATGTAAGTATTTTAACCTTTTCGCCACAAATTTTTTTAGCTCAAATTTGTCTGCACTTTTTTCTTATTGTCGCATACGACTTATTTACCACTTCCGTGTCACTGAGAATGTTCTAGAACCGTACTGTGTCTGGGTGGAATATTCTAGATTTTTTAGAAAATGGTTGAATAGGTAATAGAACACTGCACGAGGCAATAGAAGGTAATGGAACATTCTAGAAATTGGTAGTAAGTTCCAGACTCATTATGTATGCTGATGTAATGGTCTATTTATAGACAGTGGGGGTATATATAGGGTAGTTGTTCAGCACCGAGTTCAGATCGGAGATCTCGTTTAATTGTATTGGAGTTTAAGTATCTAGTCATTGGAGAAGTGGAGTTTTACCGCGTTATTGTACTTGATGTTTGCAGAGTATAATAATACCAGTACCAGTTGAAACCTCATCTGTTGGCTCCGTGTTCGTATTTTATCATCGTCGCCAGGGAAGTCTTTCTGTTACTGTTGCCATTTTGGTATGTGAACCATCACACCTGTACTATACCAATTACGGTAATATTACGTTGCGTGTGACACTTATATTATTCAATATTTCTAGAATTAACTCCTAATTTTTTGAGCCACCAGACAAAGTTTAAGTCAATTTTATGTTTTTACTCGAAAAATTCGGCTATATTTGTCCCAATCTTCTGAGGAAAAGTGCAGACTATAAACGGAAATATTTTGAGAATATGTGATGAAAAGAGGGAACTCGCGGTGAAAAGGTTAATATATTAATGCGCCCTTTACTAAAAAGTAATACGATGAATGTGAATTTCAGATCAGTTTTAAAATGTTTGATCATAATTTGCGTAATAGAGATGACAGTTATTTTTTTTCGATCGCCATCCTAACATTACGTTTTCATTTCGACACGCAACAAAGGGGTTATTGTCTGACACCTATAACATTATAGTTATATACCCTATATATAAAATATGTTTTTGAAATGCAGTCCCTCACCCCCTTGGCTATTTCGCGATTTTTCGTCGCCGGAGCGATTCACGTCCCAAATTT